CTATTTAAAATCCTTCATTAGGACAAGGCCAGCTGTGGTGGCGCACACCTTTAATCCCAGCACTCGGGAGGCAGAGGCAGGCGGATTTCTGAGTTCCAGGAAAGCCACGGTTACACGGAGAAACCATGTCTCAAATAAACAACAACAACAAACAAAATAAACCAATTTACTGGCCCCCAGGACCAAATTCAGCCTCTGTTACACAGCAGTCAAGGCGCCTCCTGCTTCTCCTCCCTCCTCTGCTCTTCTTTGCCCTCCTCTTCCACAGGATTTCACTATTTAGCCCAGGCTGCCCTCAAATTGGCTATGTAACCCAGGCTAGCCTCAAGCTCACAGTTTTCCTGACTCGGCCTCACAGGCAGATGTCACCATATTGCGTGTGGCTCTTCCTGATGTGGCCTTTCTCTGGTAATTCCATCTCTCACCATGCACACACAGTTCTCTATCCTCATTTTATAAATGTGTTCAGAGAACGGGATACCCTGATGGGAGGCACACACTCAGTGTAGATCCTGACACAACATAAACACCCAAATAGTAGGAAGGTTTAGTTTTACACCCCAGAGGTGGAAGAATCTTGGCATGCTTCATGGAAGAGGTGTCACTGGAATAAGACCTTGAATGGTGGGAGGATTTGACCACATAGGATCTGGGGAAGCAGAAGATTGGAAAGGAGCAAAGGTCAGAACTCATCATGCCTGAGACAGCACAGAGTGGCCTCCAGGAACTTGTGGAAGAGAATGGTGAGGGTTTAAAGGTGACTAGAACTGGGGCTTTTTCTATGGACAATGTGAAGCCTGTGGGATGCCGAGTAGATGGGACTACCTCAGCTTCCATATGTGTGCATGCACATCTGTGTGTAGGAGGAAGCCAGAGGAGGACTTGGGGGGTCTTCCTCTATTGCTCTCATTTGTTTGCTTGTTTTTCAAGACAGGGTTTCTCTGTATAACAGCCCTGGCTGTCCTGGAACTCACTGTGTACACCAGGCCTCAAACTCACAGAGATCCACCTGCCTCTGTCTCCCAAGTGCTGGGATTAAAGGCATGCGCCACCACTGCCCAGTTAAATGAGACTGGAGAGATGGCTCACAATTGCATGTAACTCCAGCTGCAGGAGATCTGATGTCCTTTTCTAGCCACCACAGGCACTTACACACATGACATGCTCTCATGACGATACACACAAACAGATTAAAACACCTGAACCTACATCAGGCATACCAACATGCCTCATTCAGTGCCTGGGTGCTGTGGACCTGGCAAGTAAGGGCTTTATGAACCGAGTCATCGCTCTAGCTTTAAAAAAATATCATTCCTGAGACTGGGCCTCACTATGGTGCTCAGGCTAAGCTTCAACTATCGATTCTCCTGCCTCAGCTTCCTGAGTGCTAGGAGGATGGACACATACTGCCACACCATGCTCTGCCTCCATTTTCATCCTCACTAACAACCAGAGGGGCCTTCCAGAAGTGGGTTTCCCATCATTCCACCCTGCCTTTCCCTTACCACCTCCAGCTGCTTCTTGAATCAAGACACTTTTTGGGAGGGGGTTCTGGAAGTTGCTGGAAGACAGCAGTAACTAACCAAGATACCCTTTCTATCCTATAAGCTCTTATTTCCACTCAGTTAGCTCTAGGCACACTGGCCTTTACCTGGCACCTCTTACGTTCCTCAGAAAGTGACTATTGAGCATGTACCCATCTGCCATACAGGCCATTTGGCCACATCACTCTTCTTCTTTTATAGAAGGAATCTATGCAGTTCCTACCCGTCCTTCACAACAACTTTGCAGCCTTCCTCCCAGAAGTCCTTGTTTCTCTTTTATAAGCTCTCATAAGTTATGTGTGTCTCCTCTTTAACACTTTCTGAACTTGTGAGTTTGTGTGTGTGTGTGTGTGTGTGTGTGTGTGTGTGTGTTGGAAAAGAAGGCCATAGGGTTGTAAGACCCCAGGCATAAAAACTGAGACTCTCACACTGCAGCTCCCTGGGGGCCTAACACAATGCTTGGTATAAATGTCAGCAGAATGAAATGGTAGTGTTGGGAATGAAATGGAAAAGAACAGAGATCATATCCAGAAGGATCTTTAGGAGGCTATTGCCACAGCTCAGGTAAAACGGGGCAAGTAGGGCAGGTGCAAGGATGTTAGCGGCATAGCCACGGAATTGACTAGGAGAGGAAACACATTAGCATGGTGGGCTCTGTAGTTGGGCACTTGCTTAGCATGCACAAGGCCCTGGGTTCAATCCCCAGTGCTCAAAATGAACAAAGAATCAAGAGAACAGTTGTGACTTAGATGGTGGACCAGTAATGGGGTGTATACAGGCTAGTGAGAGGAGTCACAGAAAGCAAGGGGCAGCTGGGTGCCGTGGTGTCCTTGGGGTGGGCTGCAGTTAGGAGATGGGTTAGAATCTGAGAAAAGAGGTCAAGGCACTAACACAGGGGTGAGGATACCTGCATGAGAAGCACGAAGAAGAGAGATCATGTCTCATGTCTCTGGTCCTTGGCTGTTTTTTAAGCCAGAGAAGTGGGGGCAGCACCTGCCATCCTGCTAGGATGATTCTGAGCAAGCTGCCTGGTAAAAGTAAGGGCTCAGTTAGTCACTGTCTTCATCATCACCGTCACCACCAGCACCATTACTCCACCATCAAGGTACTTGACTACACGTCTCTGCCGCACAGGTCCTGAGCCTCTTTGAGACAGCAACTGCATGGGTAATAGAATGAATTTAAGATCAGACTTGATAATTTAGCAAGAACATATATATATATATATATATATATATATATATATATATATATATATATATGGCTGAAGATATAGCCCAATAATAAAGTGCTTGCCGAGCACAGGCAAAGCCCTGGGTTTTATCCTTAGCACTACAAAACTCCAAAACAAATTCATCTTATGCCTGTACTTGCTGGATCAATAGAAAGAAAAGTATAAAGGGGCTGGGAGTCAGAGGCCACAAGCCCAGTCTCAGCTCTGATGGCCTGGGCCCTGGGCCAGTGTCCTGCCTGGCTGAACCCTGTGTTTTCAAGTATAAAGCACTGAGAAGTCTTCAGTTTGTCTGTGTTTCTGAGAGCAGTCACACCCCAGTTAACCCTCTGGGCCTGGGCAGCCTAGAGTCTTGGGCAAGTGCATGAAGCCCAAGGGGGACAGAGGGACTCTAGGGTAAGGACTCTGAAGACATAGAGCCAGTTCTGGCTGGCAGATAGTCTTGGGCCATTATAGAAGGGACCCGGGGTCCCCCGTGTGAATGTCTGGATATACAAGGCAGCCAGGACTAACCCAGGGACCTCCCTGTCCTTACAGTCTCCACTCCACCCACATCCACCCGATTTTACCAGATTCACTGGGTCCCAGAGAACCGAAGTCCTCCACCAAGAGAGCCACAGATCAGAGTTACCCAGCCTGGCTTTCCTTGTGGGATCACAAAGGTGGGCTGTGTCGAACAATGTCATCATCATGGAAGGAACTGGGAGAGAGGCCAGTCCCTGCTGCGGGCAAACCCAGTCAGGGCCCCTCAACCCAGGGAGAATCAGGGATCCGGTACTCAGGTGGGCAAAGAGTCGGCGAGTGACAAACAGACACGAACACAAGAGAGTGATGAATCTGAATGTAATTTCTCAAAGCATGCATCAGACTTTTATAATCATTACATGAGCAAGTAAGGAAGTTAATGTTGTACATATGTCAAGGTACATTGAAGTCAGCAAAATTGACACACAAAGCATATCATGAGACTAAAAGTTCAAAATAGAAAAGTTAATTTTATTATATGCCAAAATACATTGGAATCAGCAAAATTGGTACATAAGACACATGCGACCAAAAATTCAAAATAGAAAATCAAATACGCAAGAACTGGCAGTAGTCAGACAATGGTTACAACATGATAACATCAGCTCTGTCTAAAATCAGCCTATTTTTAGAATTACTTCCCCTGTCTTATGTGCATATGCCCCAGTCACAGTCCCAGTTCTTGGTCCAGTACTTAACCCACCATTGGCCTGCCTTTTTGAACTTTCTGATTATATTATTTTGTTGTGCCTTGGATAATAGACCAAGGGGGTCTTGCTCTAGCAAGCCTTTCCATGAAATTCAGGGTGTAGTACAGCACATGCTCTTCTCCTATTATCTTCTTTATCATAAATACCAGGATAAGGAAAAGGAGCATCCATTATCCTAAGCATTTGGGGAGATTCCCTATTTATTGGAGGAGCCCACGATTGGCCCCTGATTTTTGTCGGTTCTGTTTCTGGCAAGGAAGTTGGAGCATCAGTGGTGGCCAGAGGAGGAACATCCAGTTTTACTGGCCCTTCAACCAGATTGGACCCTTGAGGCACATTTATTCCTACAAAAGAAAATTAATACCAAAAAAAGATAGGGTGCAGAAACATCCACTGGTTATTGCTAGAACAAATCTGGAACACATCCTTGATATGGGACACCAGGGACCTCCAGGAGACCAGTTTCCATGAAACTTTTGCCTCAGGCCTGCGACAAGTTTTTAGGCTTGTCATGCAGACACCACTGGAGTGGATATGGCAAGTACCTTTGGTTTTGTGGCAAGGAGGAGTCATAGAAAAAGGGAATCACACATGCTATGAGTAGACTGCCTTCCAGTTCCCATGTGGCCGTGGAATTGTACTCGGGAGGGAAATGCAGGGTCTCTGGTTTGTCTGTTCCTGTAAGGTGGCCTGTTCTCATCTACCCTCAGGCTCTTGATCTCCACTGTATTACCTACCACTGTCACCCTGCCCCTGCCCTGTCACTACCCTGAAAGGAAGCACTTGGTATTGCTTGGTTCTTTGTCCAGTAGTCCCTTGGGAGAGGGGTCTGCACAAGAAGCCCAGGTCATGTGTCCTGGAGGAGCCTGCTGGACTGCGGGTGGCCAGGAGGGTGGAGTGTATCTGGAATTCACAAGACCACTGCATGGTTTTCATGCCCACAAGGCTGAGGGACAAACTTCCTGAGGCTCCTCTGCCCTCTCTTTGCAGTCTCGAAGTAGTGTGCAGCAGGGGGACATGGATGGGGCACGGAGGCTGGGCCGCCTGGCACGGCTGCTCAGTATCACCTTCATCATCCTGGGCATCGTTATCATCATTGTGGCTGTCACTGTCAACTTCACAGGTGAGGCACAGGGGCACGGAGCAGAGAGCCCCAGGGACTGGGCAGTGGTGAGGGTGTAGCCATAGCCTTTCCCTTCAGTCAAGACCGTTAAGGTGAAGGTGTGCTTTCTGACTGGACTTATAGATCAGAAGAAGGGTGTAGAATGGGCACTGGAATCAGAGGTCACAAATTCCAGTCTCAGCTTTGATGGCCTGGGATCTGGGCCAGTGTCCCATTTGGCCGACCCCTGCATTTTCAAGTAAAAGTACAGAGAAGTCTCCATCATGGACGGTTTTTGTAAGCATCACACTGGATAATGGGTGTGACGGCTTTGGAGACTGATGACCAGGCCTCCTTGCTGTACAGTCAGGGTAGACCGGAAGACAGCAGGAAGCAGCGCTGTTAGCACCTGGAGGTGGCCCAGGGCACTTGTCCGAGGTGATAGCTTTTTCAGAGAACACTGTCAGCCATAGCTTTGTGGAGGCTATTCATCTCAGAGCTGTCCCAAGCATGGGGCACTCTGGGACATTTCTCAGAGATCAAGCTAAGCCTCCCATAAAGAACTTGCTGTTCAAAATGTGCTCTATGGTCCTGCTGCAGGGGCATTACCTGGCGCTGTTTTAGAGTCTCAGACCCCTCCCTGCATCAACTGAATGGAAATCTGTATTTTAGACTTTCTTCCTTTCTTTGGTGGTGCTGAGACTGCAACTCAGGGCTTCAAGCACGCTAGGGAAGTGACCTCCCATAGAGCTAACTACCAGCCTAGAATGTGTATTCTAATAAGATTATCAATTCAGGGTGGGAGGTACTGGCCTAGAGCAGAAAGTGGGCAGTCTTGTCTATTCAAGAGAAGCAAGTGTACAGGGTTTTTGTTGTTGTTGTTATTAAAGATTTATTTATTTATTATGTATACAGTGTTTTGCCTGCATGTATGCCTGCACTCCAGAAGAGGGCACCAGATCTCATTAATCGTGGTTGTGAACCACCATGTGGTTGCTGGGAACTGAACTCAGGACCTCTGGAAGAGCAGTCAATGCTCTTAACCTCTGAGCCATCTCTCCAGCCCACAAGGGTGCAGGTTCTTGACTGGGCTCAGAGTTCAGATCCTCCATTCACTTCCTGTGTAAATGAAGTTTCACGTTTCATAAACTCTGGGCCTTTTTATCAGTGTGGAATCTGATAGGTGGGTGTGCAGGCATGTGAGTGGCAGGAACCAGCATCCCAAGGCACTAGGCTCCATATCACTCATCGTGTCCCAGGTTACTTATTCTGCTGCTTGTCGTTGTCGCTGGGCCAACTTTGGAACTCAATTTGGCAAAGGAAGTTTGCAGCTTTCATAAAAGGACGTTTTGGATTGGCTGCTCTAGTTTGATGCAAAGCCATATCTAGACACTTGGCAGCAAGTGACAGGAATCTGTCTCATGCTCTTGTCTGACTTTCAGTGTGTTGGGCTGAATTTCTAGGCAGGATCTCTGCTTATGAAGGCAGATGACAACCACCAGGGAAAATAGTGTTCTAGGAGAGGCAAACATGTCAATCAGTCCAGTAACTCAGCAGTGATTTTTTTAAAAAAGTGATGAATGGGGACATTATGGCATGTGCTTGTAATCCTAGCACTTGGGAGGTGGATGCTGGAGAATCAGGAGTATAAGACCAGCGGGTTTAGGGATAACCCTAGGTCACATGAGACTCTGCCTAAAAGAAAGTCAGTCATCTTTAGGCTGGGTGTTAGGTCATGCCTTTAATTTCAGTACTTGGGAGGCAGAGAGAGGTGGCCTGATCTACATGGTGAGCTCCAGGCTAGCCAAGGCTACTTACTAAAACGTTAAATTGCTTCTAATAACAGACTAAAGGTCCTGAGATGGATTTTAATTGGTCCAGTTAGTGTCACATGACCATTCTCTAACCAATCACCAAAGCCACAATCTTCACCAAGGTGGTAGTTCCTGCATCAAGAACCCCAAACCAAAGAAGTCCCTGATCCTGTACCTTATCCTAGTTACCATTTCCTATCAAGAGACAATTCAACATGGGTTCGTAGCTCTTTAAATCTGGGCTCTGGAGACCCAGTGTTCTCAGCGAGGTTTCACCGTACCCCTTCTTTTCTTCACAGTTCCGAAGTAGCCGCCGAGCTGTTTCTAGCGAGGCAGATGCCGGCCAGCTCCAGAGCTCCGAACCCACACGTCCCCACACATTATAGAGGACAGGATGGTGGCTGCCAAGTCCCCACCTGTTCCCAAGCTCCGAAAGCACAAACTTGGAGGGAAACCTCTACATCATTCCATTGTCAGCCCATGGCAGACGGGAAGGAAAATCTGGAATGAAGTTGGCCGTGAACCCAAAGAATAATGAGGGTTCATCTCATAGACACATCATTCGCCTTTAACCTCAGTTCTCAGGCTTGTTTCTCATCTCCCACAATTCCTGGGACTTACATGCAGCGTAAACTGCCAGAATGGGAAGAAAACCAGCCCCACAGCCAAGAAAGGAGCACTGCACACCCTGGGTGTCTGTGATCATGAGCACAGTCTGGGCCGCCATCTTTTCTATTTTTCTTGATGGGGAGCAAACAGACTCCTTGCATGTTTTGTGCCAGCATCCACGGTGATCCTAGCCTGAGCCCAAAGGTGAAGCTGTCACTCAGCATGGACCCTGGATACCGGCCGGCAAAGAGGCAAGAGCCATATGGAAATCTTCCACTGAAGACTGGATAGGGATAGCATGACACACCTGTCGCTCTTCCTGAACTTCAGCCTTGAGGCTTCTCTACCAAGGACTCTGGTTCCACAGTGTCTTCCAGAACCATGAGGTCTGCCTCTTATTTCCCACCTTGTGCTGTAGCCTGGGGCACCAACCTGGAAGTCCTAGAACTTGACCTGACCCAGGTCAGCCATGTGGGAGGGACAGATCCTGAGCTCTCTTCTGCCACTGACTCATTGAGGGTCTGGGACCTCATCTTGGTAACCCATGCAAGTGACTCAGGGCCCTCTATAGGGCATTCAGGGGTCCTAAACAGAAGAGATGAGGTGATCTCTGGCTTCAGGTTGTTAGCCCAGCTCTAAGGAACTGGTTCTGTGTCCCTGGCCATCCACAGCAACAAAGGCTTTCCCGAGAGGTAACTTGGAGACTCCTATTGGACTCTCCGACTCAGACTCTCAGGAATCTTTGCTGCATTTTGTAAGGGAGGGGCTAGAGAATTCTTAGGAAGGCTTGCTATTTCTTGATCTGGAGTCCCAGGAGTCTGGAAGGAAAGGCTTGACTGAAGGGTCAGTTTGGAGAGTGGGGACTGGGACAGGGTGTAAGGGCCCAGCAGCTACAGCCTCTGTCTTAGGACCTAGCAGAACATGGGGACAGAACCCAACAGAGCCCTCTGCCAAAGAGCCTCCTGCTTTTGCCTCTGTGTCTCTCCACAGGCTGTGCTCACAGGGGCTTCACCTGCTGGTCTTGCTTGCTCTGAGCCCACTACCCAATGTCATACCCCACCACCACCTTCAGCTCAGATCTGGTGGGGTGATCCAGGCTTCCTCTGCCGGGCAGCTAGGCAGCTTCAATAGAGCAACAGGTCCAAAGCCACAACCACCCTGGTTGGGGATTGGAAGTTCATTTCCTCTGAACAAAATCAGGAGCCTGACATCTCCTCCCCAGGGCTCTCTGCCTGGCTCCCTACAATCTCAGGGACCCTGGGCAGGGCAGGTTAGCACTGAGCACTGACAGATAGCAGAGCTCTGGGAGAGCTGAGGGGTTGGGGGTGTCTCTAAGGGGTTGATGTCCCTAAATCAGGCTCCCATTGGGGAATAAACTTGAGCTCATGTGTCTAAAGCAGGTACTAGCTGTGCACCCTTTATGGGATCTTTGAAGCCAAACTAGAGATGTTTCCATTTGCTATGGGAAGTAAGTGTGAGCCCAGAACATGTGTGTGAGTTGAAAAGTTGGATCAGGGAGATGTACTATCTATGGAAACAGCCTGTCACAGGCCCCTGATCCTAAAACGGCCCCCCCACACACACTGGGGGTCCAGATTTGGGACCTCAAAATGAGGGAAAGGAAAGACACCGTCTAGGAATTGTCACGAGGGGGAGAAGAAGCAGAGGGGGTTTTGTCTTCAGCCTCTGCGTCTCTGGAGTCCAGACTGCATCCAGCCATTCCTGCCCATCTCCTAGTCACAAGTGTACACTCGGCCTGTCAGTCACCCCCTCTCACACACTTATCCACACTTCAGCCTGGAACAATTGGAGTCTCTGCATCAGGGAAGGGCTTAGCTGGAATGTCCTTTCACTTAGACAGGAACAACCAGAGAGTCTTGCCATGGTTCCGGAGACACACTCCAGAGGTTCCCGGGGAGGTCCCCTGGGCAGAGGGGAGCACAAGACAGGAGGAGAGAGTCACTGGGATGTGAGAAGACTGAGGGAGGATTCTCTCGGCACCCAGTTCCCATGAAGCTGCGGAGAACAGGGGCCCTGCTATCCCAACACTGTGTTGGTTCAGGGCTAGCTGCATGAGCACAGTGGCTGAGGGTACTGACCTTGCCTCTCTTTGGGCATCCTGGTGAACAGCAAGAGCTGCCCCTCCCCACCACACACACTAATGACTCTGTATTTCTTGGCATGGAAAGAAATAAAGCTGAATATATGTGTTCCTTGTGTGTGTACTGCTGAGATCGGGTGTTCCAAACAGTCTACTCAGGCTGTCAATCCCTTGATTTGGCTGTGGGCTTGGGGATCCTGGGGACATTTGGGGCTCCATAGACAATTCAAGGCATTCCTATGGGCAAGTCACCATTCTCTCCAGGCCTCGCTTTTACACACTATAAAGCAGGTGGGGGAGGGAGACAGGGTCCTAGGACTCAAAAGGCAGCAGAACAAAGTGGATCAGGTCATGGTGCTGGGTTCAAATCTCAACTGGCTAGTTACTAGTTGAGGCCCCCTGGGGAAGCTCCCAACCTCCTGAGCCTTATCAGATCTGAAGTGTGAGCATTCAATGAAATAAGCCATGTCAAGATGAGAACACCACCTTTACAATCAACTCAGATCATCCAAGAACTGAAGCTGGAGTGCACATGGGACAGCTTCTCTCTCCATGCCTTAGGAGGAGTGCCCATGCTTCCTTCTGCTGCAGAAAAATAAGTGCCTATTCTACCTACTCTATACACGTGTATGGGAGAGCTAACAATCAACCATCCCTACTACAGGTAGCACAAACCTGTAGTCCCAGCTACCTGGGAAGCTGAAGCAGTGGATTGAAAGCTCAGGACCCGCCTTGATTGTTACATGAGTCTAAGGGCACCATCCTAGGCAATTTAGTGAGGTCCCATCTCAAAATAAAAACCCTGATACAGTTCAGCAGTGAAGCATGTACCTAGTACATGTGCTACCTTGGGCTCAATCCCCAGTAAAACACACACACACACACACACACACACACACACACACACACACACACACACACACACACAGCCTTTCTAATGCCCTATATCCCATTTCTTGGTGCCTGTCTCCTATGGGTCAGTAGGGTACCACATGGTTAGTAGTTCCCTCTCCTTCCATCTGGTCTAAGGGTTAGCTCCCATCTGTGTAATAAGCACCTTCCTATATGCAACATGAATGTGTGAAGTCGGGCCCTGGAAGAGGACACACAGCACATACTCATGAGGACATGTGTGTGGGTTTCCCAGAGCAGGAGGAAGCCCCAGGGTCTGCCTGGAAGGGGAAGGCAGGGGTGATTTCCTTGAGGGACCCCTCCCTCTCTCTCATCACAAACTTGTACTAAAGACTCATTGTGTGGCAGGCCCAGAACTGGACCTTGGAGACATAAAGATAAAAAGGACAGGTTTCCTGGATCATGTGTCTTTGATTTCAAGGAAAGCTCTAGGTAGGAAGGGATGGGTTTGTTGTGGCTTGGGGAGCTGCCTGGATAGGTGATGGCAGCAGTTTAGAGACCTGTCCCAGTAGGTCAGGGGACGCCATCAGAAGAGTGGCTCCCTCGGGAGCTCCCCCTGGTATGTGGGGGACAGGCAGCACTCTGTCTTGTTGAGTGGTAAATTTCACAATGTGAGTCATCCTTGAGACTGGCCGTTTGTGTAAGATGCCCTGGGCCCTTGGGGGTCAGGCTCTAGATATCTGTGTAAGACATCCCACTCGGGTTCCAGATGGCCATGGCCTGATTGTTAGTGTGGACCCTTGCCATTATGTTTGCCTTTTGTCTCTGCAGCCCTAATAATGGTGCCCATGTAAGTGTCTGTTCACCCTGATGGCATTTCTTCTTACTGTGACTCCTCAGTCAAGTAGGGTTGAGGCTAGCACTTCCTGGGTACCAGTATCATCTTAACCTTCCTAACACCTCGGAGAGGGATGAAGCAGGACTCAGAGAGGCAGAGTTAGACAGGGGATGCTGTGATTAAAGGTGTGTGCCACCACTCCAGGCTGCTGCTTCTTCCTCCTCCTCCTCTCCCTCCTCCTCCTCCTCTTCTTCAAAGGAAATAAAAGTAGTGTGGGCAATAGGGGCCTCTCTAGGCCGTAGAAAGCCTCCGTAAGGATCGACAACTTCATCTAGGTGATGGTGGTACACACCTTCAATCCCAGCACTTAGGAGGCAGAGGCAGGTGGATCTCTGGGAGTTTGAGGCCAGTCTGGTCCACAGGGCAGGTTCCAAGACAGCCAGGGCTACACAGAGAAACCATCTCAAAAAAAAACAAAAAAACAAAACAAAACAAAACAAAAAAAAGGGTGGGGTGGGGTGGGGTGGGGGATCAACAACCTCTAGGATGGCAGTTTCTAGTTTCTTCCTCACCTTCCTCACAAAAGCAACTGAAAACAAAGGCCTGGTGGGGATTTCCTCCCAGGAATAGGGCCTTCTGACGGACTGGTCCAATAAATTCCAAGTTGGATCAGGACACATTCACACCTCAGTTGTGGCTCAATCAACCACCATCCAGACTTTCTTCAAACTAATCAGCCCCAAACTAGGGGAGGAAGATCCTTCAAAGACTTCAAAACCAAACTAAACCGAAACACCAGCCCTCAAGGAGAGGCCAGGCTTCCGAGTGTCCCCTCTGCTTCCGGGAGGTCTTTCGTCTTTCTCTCCGTGTATTCGTTGTAGGTGTGCTTCCTTTCTCCTGTTAACAGCCATTTACAGGCCGGGGTGCAGGGGACCTGTAAGCCTGAACTCTTTTCCAGTAGAACTGGTCAGTTTAATGTGCTGCCCTGGAGCTCCAAGGGCTACATGACAGCATCTTTTAAAGAGCATTAATGTAATCCCCAAAGGTCTACAGTAAGAAGAGATGCCATCAGGGTGACGTTACCAGCAACACTATAGTGAACAGACACTTACGTGGGCACCATTATTAGGGCTGCAGAGACAAAAGGCAAACATAATGGCAAGGGTCCACACTAACAATCAGGCCATGGCCATCTGGAACCCGAGTGCGATGTCTTACACAGATATCTAGAGCCTGACCCCCAAGGGCCCAGGGCATCTTATACAAATGGCCAGCCTCAAGAAGAGTGACTCACACTGAGAAATTCAACAGGACAGCTCAAGGGCTGTCTGTTCCCCGATACCTTGGATGATAAGAATGGGGAATCTCCCCCTCAACTGCTATGAAAGTACTTACACCCCTTCCCAGTGGTGCTGTCCCCTCTCAGTGAAGTGATCTCCTCTTGGGATGGACCCATTGCCTTCATACAATGTATTTCAATAAACTCTCTGGTTCATTCATGTCTTAGTAAACTCTTTTACTGCCCAAGTCATCAGTCTTCTCTAAGCTGTTTCATAATGACAGTGACCACACTACTTTTTAGCTTGGTTTGATGGTCTGAAAGTGTCTCTGGAACCATTTGCCTAAGACAATCTAATTTCAGAAATTCAAGAGTGGACCAGAAGGAACTTAAGCTAGGGGAAGCCTGGAGCCCTCACACCACAGGAGGCTCCAAATGACTGGGGTTGTGCTGAGGGCAAAGGGCCTCCCGTGTCCCCCATGGGCTCTGGCCTTTGAATACCCCGGTTGGTGGTGCTGTTTGGGGAGGCTTAGGAGATGTGGCCATGATGGGGAAGTGTGTCCCTGGAAGTGGGCTTTGAGAGTTTAAAGACTCTTGCCAATGCCAGTTCTCTCTGTTTCTTGTTGCAGTTCAGCATGTAAGCTCTCAGCTTCTAGTGCCTGTCACTAACCCTGCCCCCACTGTCATGATCCCCTGACGTGATGGACTCTGACCTCTTGGAACTGTAAGCCCAAAAAAGTCGCCTTGGTCACGGTGTTTTATCACGGCAACAGAGGTAACTAAGACACCAACTGTGCACAGGCGATGGTTCCCCGTCACTCCAAGGGTATGGAAAGCTAGGCGAGAGGATGAGAGCTGTATACATATGAGGGCCATGGATGGCCATGTCCTGAGACACAGCCTGAAGGCCCACGCATCCCAGTACCTGGGAGTTTCTGGTCCCTGCTGCCTGCCCTCAAATCCCAGCCATCTTTTACCCTTCCTCCTCTTCTGACCCACAGCCCTGTGTGCCCAGGAGCCAAGCACACGAACCTTGTGCTTTGTCCCCCATATACTGGCTGAGTTGAACAGGCTGCTTATCCTGGCCAAGCAGGAGAATCACCTGGTGGCATTAACAGTAGTTCACAACCTCTGGTCTGTGGGACATGTGTCCCAGAATATCTATAAATGAAGCTAAGCACATTTGTAGATGATATCATGTCACAGTGTCTAAAGGTTAGACACCCCTAGTTTACAAGACCCTGATACCTGGGTGCCACTTCAGGGGAGTAGACTGTGCATCCAAGAAGACATGATGGTCACTTGAGGCTGTGCCAAGTCTAGACTCTAGAGTCTTGCTTCTCAAAGTGTGGACCATGGGCTATTAGCAAGCACAGGGACATTACCAGAGTTATCAAATGTAGTCAAGGCCACACACACCCTACATTCTCACCTGACAGATGGGGAAATGGTTCATGTGTATTATTCACAGGAGTGCTGATCCAGACGCCTGGTCACGTGTCTCCAACTCTCTGTCCTGCCACCCCCTGAGACTTGCAGGCTGTGGAGAGGCACCTTAGGCCTCATCTCTCCAGGAGTCCTCCTCTCAAGTGATCTTCCCTGTTCACTTTTCTGATGGTGCTGGGGATCGAACCCAGGGCCTTGTACATACTAGGCAAGAGCTCTACTTCTGAGCCACACCCTGGCTTCCACTGGTCCTTCTTATCCTCCTTCCTTTTAGGGGTTTATTGTAATGACCTGAGAACACCCAGGCAGTCTTGCTTCTCAGACACCTTTCTTGCTGAAGGTGCACAGGGAAGGGCAGGATAAATCCCAGCTCAGCTTCGTGGGTGTTTCCTAACAGTGGAGACCTTCACCCCACTTTCTAAAGTGTTTACCAGTGAGGTTGCAGCCCAGGTTTGAGGGTAGGAGGCTCAAGGTGAGTATACCCTCAGAGGGATTGTAGGCCTTCTGGAAGCGTCCCTGGGACAGGAGAAGGAAAGCCAAGCTGATGTATGAACAGAAATTTCTATTTACATCCAAAAGAAGGCTGTAGGCTCCTGAGGGCCTTTTCCTCCACCTCCAGGACTAGATTGTGCAGGAGGAGGAAGGCACCTCGGGAGACTCACCTCCTCCGGCATTCCTGGCTGCATGGGCATTCCCA